TTAAAAGAAGGTACACCGCCATCTTGTGCCGACTAAACTGACTTGAACGCACCTGACATCGTAATTACGACTTGTCAACTCGTAAGTACGAACGTCCCAGGAGTACTTGAACGCAGCATTACCTATGATGAGTTCACAGCTGAATGGGCATTTCACTCGTTGGCGTCAGCATCACATTTGCATAGACCGTACTACTGGAATTTGTGATTGGTTGACAGCAAATTGCAAATATTAAATGGAACGATAAAATAACGTTATTAACCAGTTATGATGAGTTCACAGCTGAATGGGCATTTCACTCGTTGGCGTCAGCGTCACATTTGCATAGACCGTACTACTGGAATTTGTGATTGGTTGACAGCAAATTGCAAATATTAAATGGAACGATAAAATAACGTTATTAACCAGTTAATGGCCATTTCAAATTTAAGATTCTGTTCGGAACTATAAAGTTTGATTTCGTTTCTGGTTCTGGTTCTGTTCCTGTCAAAATGTTGTTCGTTTCCGTTTTCGTTCCTTGAACCGGTTCAGAGCCCTGGTTTGCAGTGTCAACAAAGTTCTGCTTACCTGAATGCCATCTTCTTCATAAGGTGGGCGTCCATTCTGTCAGGCAGGTTGTTTTCCAACTGAGAACTTGTCGCTGGATCACCGAAGACTGTAGAGAGCTGGCTGTTCTTGGAGCGGCTTTGCGTTTCCATAGAGTCCTTCAGATTATATAAGCAATTAGACACTAAACAACCCAATGCAATCTAGGTTTTCAAGACTGAGTCTAAAAGTTACCTCAGAGTTGCAGTCCTGTGACTCTGTGTCCTCCATGTCCAGAGCGGACAGCTCCAGCTCGATGTCTCTGTCAGGCTCACTCTCCATCCCATCCTTGTCCAGCAGATCTGTGCCCTGCTTTGACCCGCTTCTGAAGGAATTGTGCCTTACATGCAGCCCTGACATGGCCAGCTGATCGCTGAAACACACAGACACACACTGAGCTCTGAAACCAAACCAAAGCTAAGAACACAAATCAGTCGGTTCTGTTGTTTGGTGTTCTCAGACTAGAAACTCAGTATTGAGATCAGGTGAGAGGTGTTCTCCCACTCAGAATCTGCCCTATGAGTAATCATCATTGACACCAAAAACAATGTTATATTATTAGAGCACATAACAGGGGAAAATAGGAGATTTTTGTAGGCTAAGCTATACAATTTTTATAAATAAATTTAAGGAAAATGTATATATGTTTTATTTTTTAAAATAACTGTATATATACACACTGTTCAAAAGTTTACAACAGCATTTTTGTTTTAATTTTTACTTTTATTTAGCAAGAACTCATTAAATTGATCAAAAGTTACAGTAAACACATTTATAATGTTACACAAGATTTTAATCTCAAATAAACGCTGTTCTTTTGAGCTTTCAGTTCATCCTGAAACTAATTTATCACGGTTTACACAAAAATACACACACACACACACACACACACATTTTCTTGAGCAGCAAATCAGCATATTAGAATTATTTCTGAAGGCTCATTTGACACTGAAGACTGGCGTTAAATTCCTGCTTTACTATCACAGTAATAAATTACATTTTACAATATATTAATATAGAAAAATAGTTATTTTAAACTCTAATAATATTTCAAAACATAGCTGTTTTTACTGTATTTTTTATCAAATAAATGCAGCCTTGGCGAGTATAAGAGACTTCTTCCAAAAACTAATAATGCATCCTTATAAATAAATGTATATATTAAATGAAATTATATATAAAAATATATTATACATATTAAAAACTCAAAAGCATGTTAGTTTTGCCCTGGTATCGACAACAGAGGTCATTTAAATAAATAAGCATCAGGCTGAAAAAAGTATCACTGGTGCAAGAGACATTGATTAAAATTATTATTTAGATTTCAGAAAAAATACACAACAATGGTGTAGAATATTGTACAATAATGTAAGATCACAAAATGAATTTCAAGACATTATATATAACTAGTAATACACATTTGCTTATTTCAGATATGTGTAGATGAATTGTAGCAGGCAGATATGGACTTGTGGGTGTTAAGGAGACTCTATGAAACGTAAGCCCTCATTGCAGTGTGTAAGAGCTTTGCAAACACAAACGAGTGGAGTTATGTTCCAGCTGCTGCTCTATTTTTAGAATGGTACAGAGGACAGCCAGACGACTACGGCGGGATGGGGTGGGGGTGAAGACGGGGAAACACTGTGAAGACTACTGCTACAATGTTTCTAACAATCCAGTAAAATGAATGTACAAGTGACATTAATAATAATTTGTACATGCATGACTACTATGTGGTTGCTAAGGTGTTTAGAGTGGTTACTAGGTGGTTGTTTACTGGCTCAAGTCAACAGGACCCACCCCCAAGTCTCTATATATTTCAGTCTCTATATACAGTATGGCTCAGATATCTGTTTCAAAGTAAGTCTATGGGATTTTTGTTGTTGTTGTTGTTTAACACTAAGCATTTGCATTTAGAAATGAAGTTTCTACACAAGACGTCTCAGTTTGAACTGGTACCTTTCTAGAAAGCTGGAGTGACTAGAAGAATCAGATCCACGTGGGCCCCATCTGAGGTCACTGTGACCAATATGACAGCTATAGTCTGTAAAGAGAATGGAACATGAATCACTCTCAAAGCCAAAGAAATTCAGAGTCAAAAGCATAGAAAGCAATATGAATTCTAACCTCTGAAGTTGATTGATGTGGTGCCGGCGCACCCCTGCGATGCAGTAGCCTGGAACGGGTCAGTTGTGTGAAAGCCAGTGCGGGAAGCCCGAGAGATGGCTCCCCATTTAGAGATGATGGGCCCCTCTCCAAAAGGAATGATGGGATCTTCGTCTTTCAGTCGCCTGTAGGGCTCAAACATGTGCAGCCACCGTTTGCCGCCACTCTCCCCGTCCTGAGGACAGATAATTAGATCTCAATTAGGAATCGTATCACAATCACACTTATGAAGCACTGCTTTGTGCGATAAACTGGTCACTTATCATAACATGTGAAAATGTGCTATTTAATTTTATAAAAGGGTATATATATAAATGAGTCTGTATTACAGTCACACTCACATTACAGTGAAGTGACTCCAGTTCTACATGCTTCACATTCATTTTGATTGTTTGAAAGAATTATTATAGTTTTACAGGGTAAAACGATTTACCAGTCAATCAGTCTGAATGTAATGTGAAGTCACTGAACTTGTACCTGTAGCTCAAACAGTTAAATGTGGTGTGCACATTTGTGGTATTTTAATTAAGTTTGAGGGAATCATTTGGAATATGTTACTGAGCAAGCCAGTGTAAGAGAGAATCAGTGTGAATGTGTTCTGAAGTGACTCCATTTGTATCTGCTAAGCATTCATTTTTCAATCAGATTGAGTTAATGAATAGGTAAGTGTTATAAAGTAAAACTAGCCATAAAGCAGTGTATATACAAAGCGACTTCACTTGTACATGCTACACATTAACTTTTAATTCAGTTTGAGAGAATTAACAGTAATGTGTTACATGTATATGGTAAAAAATTTAAAGTGATTTAGATTTTAATAAATCTAAAGTGACTCCACTTATGCTACACATTTATCTTGATTCAGTTTGATAGAAATAATGGGAATATGTTACTGAGTAAGCCGATTAAGTTTGTATCATTGTGGATTCTATCTGAAGTGACTCTACTTGTACTCTCTACACATTCATTTTTAATTTAGTTTGAGATAATTAATAGTAATGTGTTATATCGTATGCAAATTTAAAAGAAAACCAGTGTGAATCTTAAGTGACTCCACTTGTACCCTCTACATGTTCATCTTTAATTCAGTTCAGTTAATTCAGAATCAATAGCAATCTGTTAAAAATAAGCACATTTAAAAGTATTTCAGTGTAAATGTAATCTTAAGTGACTCCACTTGTACCCTCTACATGTTCATCTTTAATTCAGTTCAGTTAATTCAGAATCAATAGCAATCTGTTAAAAATAAGCACATTTAAAAGTATTTCAGTGTAAATGTAATCTGAAGTGACTCCACCTGTACCATCTATACATTCAGTGTTGATTCAGTTTGAGGGAATCAATAGGAATATTTTAAAGAATAAGTACATTTAAAAGTATTCCAGTGCAAATTTGATCTGGAGTTACTCCACTTGTACCCTTTGTATGTTCATTGTTGATTCAGTTTGAGGGAATCAATAGAAATATTTTAAAGAATAAGTACATTTAAAAGTATTCCAGTGCAAATTTGATCTGAAGTGACTCCACTTGTACACTCTACATGTTCTTTTACACTCTACATGTTATTTATTGATTCAGTTTAAGAGAAATAATAGGAATCTGATAAAGAATGACCTCATTTTAAAGTATTTCAGTGTAAATTTGATCTGAAGTGACTCCACTTGTACACTCTACATGTTCTTTTACACTCTACATGTTATTTATTGATTCAGTTTAAGAGAAATAATAGGAATCTGATAAAGAATGACCTCATTTTAAAGTATTTCAGTGTAAATTTGATCTGAAGTGACTGCATTTGTGCCTTTATACATTCACTGTTGTTTCAGTTTGAGGAAATCAACAGGAATCTGTTAAAGAACAAGCACATTTAAAAGTATTTCAGTGTTAATGTGATCTGAAGTGACTCCACTTCCACCATATTCATTCATATTCATTTTGATGGCCTTCAAAGGAATCAATAGAAATGTGTTATAGTGTAAGCCATTATAAAAGTAAATGAGTGCAATTGCATTGTGAAGAGACCACTTACTAGCTGTTTGGAACAGGAGTGGGTTGACAAATGGTGGGGCTCTGACTCAAATGGGCTGATGGTGCTGCACGACCAGGGCGAGTAGTGGGCAAGACTCTCTTCTCCACCATGACACTTACAAGTCATACGCCTACCACCTACACCCTCAGGATGCTAAAGGAGGAGAAAGAGTGAGATGACAACATTCTATCTCACACCCACCATGTGCAACAGGCTGCCAGATTCAAATAAATGGGGGTGGAAAGAAACAATGTAAAGTGACTCAGCCTCTGTGGTGCCAAATCTTTCTCTGAGAGTTCATGCGTTTCAAAGCGCTTGTGCGCACACACAGTTTTCAGGACAGAACTGCTTCTTGCTTTGGATTTATCAGTTGCTGAGCAACAGACCCACTTAAAATAGCTTAACACACCTCAGAAGGGCAACAGCAGCTTCGGTGCCAAAGTTATTAATTGAAGAAACAACAAATCTGATTTAATTCAGCTTTAGCACGGTGCAGACATGTGGTGTACTTTTCCCATGACACACACCTCTAAAAACAGCATATCGGTGGGCCGTACCTCTGGACACACATCCACAGTGAAGACCGGCGAGGATTGGGAGGGCCTGTTCATGTTGCCGTGGTGATGTACCCACTGTTCCTGTTTGTGGCGATAGAGTTCCTCATAGCCGAGAGGAACACGGGTGTACGCATCCTATACAAAAGACGGAAAATGGCTTTTAACTTCTCCATTCTCATAATGACTTAGTCACCTATTTTACATTTAAAAGTGAAGTGTGAAATTTCTGAGCAACAAACAGCGTGGAAATAATTTTAAAAACAAGTTTCAAACATTCCCCTGTCTTCCATTGCTCTGAACAAAGCAACAAAACCACATCTAGCCAGGATATTAAAATGTATATACATAATTGAATATTTATAAATAAATAAATAAATAAATAAATAAAGATAAATAGATAATAATGTTGTGACCAATACCCAAAAATGATATTAAAATGTATTATCTTTATATTATATAATATAATATACTACACTACCATAAAATACTATACTATACTATTTATACTATACTATTTGTCAAAATGAATCAAAGATAAAACACTAAAAAATTAAATTCAATCATTTTAAATGTTATACATGATTTTAGGCATCACAGCATTATAATGTACAGTAAGAAAAATGGATATTCATTTTAAGATTTGATAAAGATTACCTTTGAAATGTAAAATTGTAAGTTTAAGTACAGCTCAAATAAAATAATATATAAATATTACATGAAAAAAAATTAAATGATTACATTATTTTATTATATTATTATATAGAAATGAAACTGCCTTGGCAACTAAATAAAAGAAGCTGAAGTTGAAGTACTAAAATTACTAAAACTAGAACTGAAAAAAATAATAAAGTTATATTAAAAAAATGAACAAAAAAAGTTTCCTTTGCATTTATTTTATACTTTTTGATATTAGGGTTTTTCTTTTTATGATTTAGTTCTGTGCTGTCTAGTTCCTTGTTTTTTGAGCTCCTGCCTTTTAGTTTAGTTTAGTTTTGTTTTTGTTTTTCCCCTTCCCGCTTTTTGCTCCCCAGCTCCCCCTCCAGCTCTGGCTGCTGGACTCCCTACTGCCTGCCACCTCCCTCCCATCCCTTGCTGCCCTGCGCTACCTGCTTCCCTGCCCTTCCTGTTCCATTCATCCAGCTGCTCTGCTAATATCAGTCTTGTCCACCAGCCTCAGAAGATTCCAGTTAAGCCTGCCTTCACTCTCCCTCTCTCTCCCACCGTCGCCATTCCCTGTGCCCTGGGGTTCATTGGAGAGCTTGTCTGTCTCGTTGCTCTTGAACTGTTGCTCTATACCCTTCGCTCTGAAACCCCTTTCCTAGACGCCTCCTGCTGAGCTGACACTCACTTCCACAGACCTGGCTGGAATCTCTCCTGGTTACCCTCTCGGACAGTGGCTTAGTTCCTGAGTTCCTGTTTTGTGTTTGAAACTCAAATCTCTGTTATCCCTGCAACTGATTCCTCTTCCTATACCACCCTGACAAAAATAACAATCCAGGATAATTATGTTATTATTATAAAGAGAAATGTTGCTATGGTAATGAAATCGAATTATTTTAGTTTAAGTACTGAAATTACACTTAAAATTAAAACGCAATAAAAACATAAAAATGACTTCAAAACTAATATTTGAACTAAAATTTAAATGAAAACTGAAAATAATAAAATAGAAATAAAAGCTAATTAAAAATATTAATAAATACTATAATGGTACATAAATAATACTAAAATAACACTGTTCAAATTGTCTTCAATATCAACAAATACTAATAAATTAAAAAAAAAACTCTAATACAGACTAATTGCTAATGCTATACTGATATTTAAGCTATGTGAAGTGATTCTGGACCAATGGTCCAACCTAACACAACAGAAACCAAGTGACAGACAAAAAATACTGCTGCAACTGTTGTAATAAAACTGTTGTTGCTGCAATAGTTGCAACTGGTTATAACTCAAATTAACATTGAAGAGAATTTCCAGCTGACACTGAATGAGCCTGTAAGAGATGAGATAATGAAACCTGCCCTGTGCATTGGCGCTCTCTGCTCCGCGGTGCTGCAGTAGGGGCTGTCCAGCGAGTTGAAGCGCTCTCGGAGGGGCGGCTGGTAGACGGTGGAATGAAAAACCTCCGGAGGGAGAGAGTTACTCCTCCCGCCATCCCTGGGATACAGCGGCGGCCTCCACACGCGACGGCTGTCGTAGACCGGGGTGTACATGCTGTGTGCGTGGGACATAGAGGCGTAGGTCGAGGGTGGCCCGTACGGGCCGGGGCCTAATCTGTCTGCAGGAGGAACAGAGGGGTGCTGGTCTGGGTACTGAGGGCCCATTGACGGGGGTAACATGGACTCAGAGACGTTGCTGGAACGATGGAAGCGAGCGTTGCATGACTTGTGAGGAGGAACTGTGGAAAACAGAAGCGAGTGAGTGTAATGGAAGATTACATGTCACAGGAGAGCGATTCAGGATGTCACTTACTGGCAGGTTGGTGGTAGGGTGAAAGGTCATATGGTCTCTGGTCCTGAGAGTAGTAAATCTTAGGATGAGCTCTCGTGAGGACAGGCCCATGTTTGAGGAGACCGCAGTCGTCCTCTGTACACAACCCCGAAGCTATCGCAGACGACTGGCTCTGACTGATGGGATTGCTCAAAGATAAATAAGAAATAATAAGAATTTCCATAAGAATCAAAAGTGGGCAAAGAGATTCTTACAAAGAAATGGCATATTCATATTTCTAATTTTTCAAAAAATAAATAAATAAATAAAACTATCAGTTGACTTCATTTTTTAAATAAAGAATGGTTATGAATATTTATTTATTTATAAAATAATAAAATAATACTTTTAATCAATCTTTACTCTTTTACTGTTGCAAAAAACACTAATAAACAACAATACAATCACTTTTTTTATGGACTTAAAGGGGTCATATGATGCGATTTCAATTTTTCCTTTCTCTTCCATTTTTGCATGAGGATATAGCAAGAACTCACCCTAGACCCTATGCAGTTTTAAAAAAAAACTGTTTTTTTAGTTGTTTTAGGCCACATTCACACTGTTGTTTTTATGGCTTACAATCCATTTCAGTTATAAAATCATTTCAATTACAAAATGAAAAAAATTACAATAAAGAAATATATGTATATATTAACAATAATAATTATTATTATTATTATCATTATCATTATTACAGTTAATTATATTATCATTATTATTATTATTGAATGAAACAAATAAATAAATAAATAAATTACTAGAGTAAAATACTATTGTCCTAGAGTATTTATAATAATAATAATAATAATTTTACAGAACAACATTAAAATTACAGTAGTAATATATTTGGTTGGTTAAATATCTTTGCGTTTAAATGTTTGCATTCAAATGCCCTATTTTGCGATTGAAATGGAATCGTTATCTGATTTTTTGCTGAAAAGTGACACATTTTCATCCCTGACAATCGCAAGTCCAACTATTTGGAAAGCAATACACACGTCTCCTCAACAAGCTTGAATGTAGAAGTATGAGCTCCAGCAATAGTGAAGCACACTTACTGTTCTAGGCTGGCAGCAGGCAGTCCGTTCACACTGCTGGGGAGTGTTTTGTCCTCCTGGTGGTCTCCTCCTCTAGGGATGAGCTGAGTGGGAGACGCGTCCTCTGGGGCGTCGTTCTCGTGGTTCTTCCCCTCTGACCCTGGGACTGCTCCTTTGGTGCCGGTTTTGGGCATAACCACTGGAACTGACGAGAAGGGCCTCACCGCCCCACTGGCTTTCCTACTTCTCATTCTGTGCCTGAAAGATACAGAAAGATGCAGAGAGGAAATGGGGTGACGGCAGACCCTGCTACAGTAAAGCATGCTGTTGTGTTGGAGGGATCGTGTGGGTGAGCCTGAATAAGAATGAGGAACGGGAGACGTGGGAAGGCGTGGAGGTGCTCTTTTGTGCATTACAGCACGAGACTGGATACGGTCATCAAGATTGTGTGTATGTGTGTGAAAGGGAAAGAGTGTGTGTTCTCACTTCTCCAGCTCCTCCTGCGTGTGGGCAAAGGTGCAGCTGGCCCCTCTCGGACAGCCACCCTGCTGCCGTAAGTCCCTGCACATACTCGTCTTGTACTTGCTGTTGGGTTGAGCCTGAGAAAGAGGAGCAGAACACATTTCAGACTGTTTCAAAATGACCCAACAAATAAATAAACTGGTTATAGGTTGCTCTTTCATAGTTTAGGAAACTTAAGTGTCAAAATTCCTGAAAAATAGATACAAATGTGACAACAGTTGGCATAGAGTACGAGTATAGAGCGATTAAATGAATGCTGATAGCACGGCTGTGATTATTTGTGATCATTTGGAGCTGCTTTGACCAGGAAATACATTTATTTCTACATACAATCTAAATATATCAGAGCTTTATGCACTGAAGGAAAAAGTCTGTTTTCAAATGATATAATTATTATGTTTGTACATCAAACTGAGTATAATAATTTATTGTTATTTAAAAAATATATATAATTAGATTTATTTAAATATACATGAAATAATTAACACATCAATAATAAAAAAATGTAAACATATAAAACATTTTATTTAATAATAAATAAAAAAATATTGAATTATATATATATATATATTTTTTTTTTTATATATATTTTATAGTTTATAGTTTATCAATATGCTCTTCTCTAGATATTAGATGAACACTGGATAACTTTTATAACATTAGATGACAAGTTCTTTTAAAAAAAAAGACTTTTTTTGTCTTCCTGTGAAAAACCATTGATTGGGCAATTTTGTAAGAGATACATTTTTACATTTTGGTGAGCTTCACTTTATTTTTTAACCAACCCTCAGTAATGATACGTGATCAGAAAAAGGAGACAAATTATTGAATAAAGTAATTATTTTTGTTTTCTTTGCACACAAAAAGTATTCTCGTAGCTCCATACAATTAGGGTTGAACCACTGATGTCACATGGACTATTTTAACAATGCTCTTACTACCTTTCTGGGCCTTAGGTAGGACCCTTGCTGTCTATGGGGGGGTCAGTGAGCTCTCAGAGTCTTAATACTGCATGTGTTCTGAAGATGAACGAAGGTCTTATGGGTTTGGAACGACATGAGGGTACTAACCCTTTAAACAGTGGCAAAACAACATTCATTGATTGACTTTCCTGATAAAACTGACATTTTTGGCCAGCTGTACTTAAAGTGACGTGGAATGAATGTATTCAGGAGAACACATCTGGAAACAGTGTAGTGAGAGCTCATGCTGTACCTGAGGGCTTTCATTGCTCTTTTTGCTGAAGTTTTGGATGAATTCCACCAGCCCGTGGACAACAACCTTCACAGCCAATAACACACTCTCCAGCTCTGTCCAGGACGGAGCGGCCGCATCTGCAAACACACACACAGGTTATTGCTATGTAATCTGATTGTGTCTGCATCCGTGTGGAAGTGTGGGTGCGTGTGCGCACCAGGGTTGTGGTCGATGCCGGCTAGCAGCTCGAGAGGAGCTCTGAGGCTGTTGAGGTTGGTTGGGTCTCCTGTTCTCTGCAGGATTATGGTCAGCTCCTGCACGCTCTTTGCAAAGGATTCTGGGGATTGAAGCTGTGGCAATGGAAGGACGAATGCATTCAGAATAGACAAAAAATTCCAAAGACATTCAACAAAAATCTATAAATATTTGCTTTACTATATTTTACACTACTGGTCAAAAGTTTGGAATAATTATGATCTTTGATTGGAAAGAAGTCTTATATGCTCACCAAGGCTGCATTTATATGATAAAAATACAGTCAAAACCGTAATTTTGTGTAATATTATTCAAATTTTAAAATGACTGTTTAAAATGTAATTTATTCCTATGATCAAAGCATAATTACTCCAAGTCTTCAGTTTCCCATGATCCTTCAGAAATCCTTTTATTAAGATTTAATATGATTTAATATGATTTGCTGCTCAAGAAACATTTCTTACTATTATCAATATTCAAAACAGTTGTTATGGAAACCATGATACAATACCATTCAAAGGTTTGGTGTAAAAGAAATTAAGACTTTTATTCAGCAGGAATGCACTAAATTGATCAAAACTGACAGTAAAGACATTTATAATATTAGAAAAGATTTATAATTCAGATAAATGTTGTCCTTTAGATCAAAGAATCCTAAAAAAAATGTATCGTGGTTTCTACAAAAATATTAAGCAACAAAAATGGATAATTTGAGATGGCTTTGCCATCACAGGAATACATTTACAATTTCAAATATATTCAAATAGAAAACGGTTATTTTAAATTTTAATAATATTTCCCAATATTACTGTTTTTACTGTATTTTTTATCAAATAATTGCAGCCTTGGTGAGCATGAGAGACTTATAAAAATGTATTAAATTATTATTCCAATTATTATTCCAATATTATTTGATGTCGTATTTTAATTATTTATATATTTATTATTATATTATTATTTTATATTATATTATTTTTAAGCTTTGTGCAATATACATGTGGTACCTTGTCTATGATTGACTGCATGAATTTAAAGCTCAGCACAAAATGTTTGCTGTAAAGTCATCTAATTGTCCTTCTGAAGTGGAACTACTTCTCCAAAGGTTCTGATAATATGTTACAGATATAATTCCAGAACCCTGCTCCTTTATGCCACATCCTTTCCACTTTCCTTCATTTCCTTACATTTTTCTGGTCATGACATGAATTGTTGTATATAACCCGAAATATGCAAAAATAACCAGGTATATATCTTTAATGATGATAATAAAATGAAGAAATGCAAAGAAATGCAATGCAAAGAAACTCACCAGGTCCTAGAAACTGACAGCCGCGTGCCCGCACAGCGGCCCATAGGTTGGCAGAGAGCTGCTGTGGGTTCTGGTGCTGCAGGATGAGTTCAGTGACGGTGCGCTCACCCAGAGATCTGCACGCCCGGACCGCTCGCATACGCCCCTCCTCCTCGACCAGCTGGCAGTTCACCAGGGTCACCAGCTTCCTCTGCATGGGTCTACTGAGCGTGCTCTGACTGAGGGTCACTACACCTGTGTGGGAGAGGAAAATCCACACTATATATATCATTTTTGTCCTGAGTAGCACGAGTGCAAATGTGAATCAGCCATTTGAACGAATGTAATAAATCAATGACTCAATAAGACATTTACCGCCACCTACTGGCAGTTTTAATTTCTTATTTAGAGTATCATTTCATTTAAAAAACATTATTTCAAATTTCCATAATCATAAAAAACAAGTCCAGTTAATTTGCATTCATGCTGCCCCTGAGCTGCGATAAACATATAAATACTGTATATACTGTATATATATGTGTGTGTGTGTGTGTGTGTGTGTGTGTGTATGTATCTAAATACCACTTCAGATTCAGCTTCCTCCCAAAAAAAGGTTGTTGTAGCCAAAAAATTTATAATTCATTTAAATAAATAAATAAAATGTTTAAAGTTTAATAAATTCAATGTTGCATCAAATAAACGATTTGTCATGTAACACAATGACTTTAAATGATCTTTTGGGGGTAATTTCTCAGCCAAATTTGATGTGCGATTATTTAATTTATCATTTATAATGTGTATTATATATGTATTTACAGTTAAACCATATTGTTATATTTTTTATATATGATATATATTATATAGATTATTATATTGTTGGTCTGAAGTCAAATTATCCTTAATGCCTTTAAATGGCCTCTCATTTAGTTTTTCCAGAAGTTCATCTACTAATACACTATATCCACTACTGATACTACTTCCAGGAGCTGCTAAACATCTTGAGGGTAAAAGTCTCAGTCTTATGGCTACACCACAGCGTAATAGTGAAGGTTTGGCAGAGGAGCTGTTATGAGCTCAAAGCTCAATGAGGAGTTTAAGAGCTTTAGCCTTTAGCGTTCCTCTAGTCCGCTGTGAGGAGTAACTTTTATTGTTACTCCAATAAAACACTCAATTGAGCCCTGAAACGGACTTTGCCACTCACAACAGCTGAGACCATGAGTGACCTGAAGCTTTATTGCTCATGGAGACCAAGTGTTTTATTGGCCTACAAAGAGCCGTTCTCGTGTTTAACACAGTGGGAAATTATTCCATGAATAATAAGTAACACCAGCATCTGATAAGCAATAATGTACGAAAATGCACCGGGTAGGATATAACGTGCTTATTGCTTTCATTTTGCTTTTATTAAGCATTACTAAACATGAATGTTTATTGTAAACATTTATTTTTTCACTGTATTTCATTGCATGTATTGCATATAAAATACGTGCATGTTTTTCTCTTGTTTCTGAAGTGGCCTTTGGGTTTCTGTGTTTTTATTTTTTTTTTGTTTTGTTTTTCCCACTGACGCAAACATCTCCAACCACAGACAGATAAAGCACATGTAGCCGCTGAACAACAGGAAATGTTGCGCTATCCAAACGTGAGCTCGTTCAGGCGCAAGCCTAAACAATAATGCAGCACTCACAGTCATTGTTGTTGATGTACCTGTATCACTTTCTTCACACACTCACCTTTTCCTCCACTGATTGGTTTGAGATACAGCGCCAGCTCCTCCACACAGATCCTGCACACTTCATAATGTCTTGTGTCTTCAACACTGCCCACACTCACAATCTCTCCCTCCGGAACCTGCAGAAAAACAACCATTGGCAGATATGAAACACCACCAGAAGAGATATTGCTTTCATTTTGCTTTTATTAAGCATTACTAAACATGAATGTTTATTGTAAACATTTATTTTTTCACTGTATTTCATTGCATGTATTGCATATAAAATACGTGCATGTTTTTCCTCTTGTTTCTGAAGTGGCCTTTGGGTTTCTGTGTTTTTTTTTGTTTTTTTTCCCACTGACGCAAACATCTCCAACCACAGACAGATAAAGCACATGTAGCCGCTGAACAACAGGAAATGTTGCGCTATCCAAACGTGAGCTCGTTCAGGCGCAAGCCTAAACAATAATGCAGCACTCACAGTCATTGTTGTTGATGTACCTGTATCACTTTCTTCACACACTCACCTTTTCCTCCACTGATTGGTTTGAGATACAGCGCCAGCTCCTCCACACAGATCCTGCACACTTCATAATGTCTTGTGTCTTCAACACTGCCCACACTCACAATCTCTCCCTCCGGAACCTGCAGAAAAACAACCATTGGCAGATATGAAGCACCACCAGAAGAGTTCTATTTATGACATTGTGACGTCAATGTTAAACAGCATAATGATTACTGGTGAAACTTACAGTATCTGTTTGGAGTAAAGCAAAGTGAAAATATTTTTGTTATGATAAAGGCTTTCTCACAGTTTTGACTTTTTTAATGCAATTCTAAGTTTATATCTCACAATTCTGGTTTTGTCTTGCAGTTCTCAGAAGAAATTCAGAATTGAGGTATAAACTCACAGTTACCATTTTTTATTTTGTGGCGGAAACAAAAAAAAATTGTCAGATATAAACTCAGAATTGTGAAAAATAAACGGAATTAATGCTAAACAAAAAAGTTAGAATTGCAAGATTCTGTATAAACTCAGAATTGCGAGATATAAACTCAGAATTGCAAAATATAAACTCAGAATTGTGAGATATAAACTCAGAATTACAAAATATAAACTCAGAATTGCGAGATATAAACTCAGAATTGCAAGATATAAACTTGAATTGTAAGATATAAACTTGAATTGTAAGATATAAGATATAAATTGTGGGATATACAATTAGAATGACAAGATGTAAACTCAGAATTGTATGATAAACTCCGAAATAAGAGATATAAACTCAGAATTGCAAGATATAAACTTAGAATTACAAGATATAAATAGAATTCTAAGGAAAAAACTAAAAATCAAAAGATGTAAACTCATAATTCTGAAAACAACTCTGAGAAAAAAATTATGAGACATAGCCTATAAACTCAGAATCGCAAGATATAAACTCAGAATTGCGAGATACTGTGTAAACTCAGAATTGTACGATAAACTTTTTTCTTGCAATTCTAAGTTCATATCTTACAATTCTGTCTTTGTCTTGCAGTTCTCAGAAGAAAAGTCAGAATTGAGGTATAAACTCACAGTTACCTTTTTGTGGCGGAAACAAAAAAAAATGTGAGATATAAACTCAGAATTGCAAAATAAACTAAATAAATGCTAAACAAAAAAGTTAGAATTGCAAGATTCTGTATAAACTCAGAATTGTGAGATATAAATTCAGAATTGCAAAATATAAACTCAGAAGTGCGAGATATAAACTCAGAATTACAAAATATAAACTCAGAATTGCGAGATATAAACTCAGAATTGCAAAATATAAACTAAATATTGTGCGATATAAATTCAGAATTGCAAGATATAAACTCAGAATTCCGAGAAAAAAGTCAGAATTAAGAGATTCAAAATTGAAAGACATAAATTCAGAAATGCAAGATAAACTCAAATTTGTGAGATGTAAACAGGAGATTGCAGAATTCTGAGTTTATATCTTGCAGTTCTGTCTTTTTTATGTTAGTGTACTTTTCATTTCAATTAATTTCTTGTAAAACTGTATGCACGGTTAAGACACTGACAATAAAAAAATTAGTTTTGAGCTGCACAGCCCAGAAAGACAGCAACACTGGATATCCTGAGCTATTTGAAACCTCAAAAGCTATCATATCAATCATATCAGCATGCCCCACTCACCGGCGCCCCCACCAGCTGCAGGAGGGCACAGTTGACAGGCAGCACATCAATGTCAGTGCTAATGGCCGTCTGGTCAAATGGACAGGCCTTGCGGTGCAGTTTGTGCAGGCAGGTCTTGCAGACGGTGTGCGAGCAGCCCAGGCTGATGGGCTTGTGGCTGCAGGCGTCAAACTCATTGTAGCAGATGGGGCAGGATAGAAACTCAGTCCATTGAGCTGCCTGCACCGGCATCCTGTGACCTCCAGGTGGAACAATCACGCTCAGGTAGATCGCATGACGCCTCGCCCCGGCGCCTTAAACACACCTGAGGAGAGAAGAAGACATTGAGTCTCATTCACTTATCATGCATACGCACAAATTTATGTGTGAAATCTGCGTACAAAGATTTTCATGAAAAAATCATGATTCGTTTGTATTAAAAGGGTTTATTGTGATTGAACATGAGCACATATACTTGGCCTTGCTCAAGAATCTTGCTGTGTTCTCAGGCAAGAGCTCTTCTTTAGAGTTTCATACATTTGCTAAGATTGGCGAAAGGTTGTGCGGAAATTTGGGCAGGTTTTTTATGCAAATGACTAACCTTAGGCACACAGTTGTTTATTTAAAAAACTCGAAATTCTACAACATTAGAACGAGGTTAACAACAACTTCATGTGCGGAGGCATGTGTTAGGCAGAGTCATTTGCTTGATTCATTAAAAGAACCAATTCATTTGACTTATAAGAGTCGCTTGTTTGTGAATCAGACTACATAGGCGGTGCTGTTTGTATTTGTGTGTAACAAATTTTTTAACTTGTGCCAGTTGCTCAATTCATTAAGAAAAAAAACAGTTCATCTTTTTTTTTTTTTTTGCCAGTTGCATGAATCATTAAAACAACCAATTAATTTAACTTATAAGAGTCATTTGTTAATGAATCAGACTACATAGGTGGTGCTGTTTGTTTTTGCGTGTAACATGTTTTATTGTTTGTTTGTTTTTACTTGTGCCAGTTACTTGATTCATTAAAAGAACCAATTCATTTAACTTATAAGAGTCATTTGTTTGTGAATCAGACCACATAGGTGGCACTGTTTGCTTTTGTTTGTAAAGTGTTTTATTTTTACTTGTGCCAGTTACTTCGTTTATTAAAAGAACAAATTAATTTGACTAATAAGAATGATTTCTTTGTGAACTGGACTACATAGTCCATGCTGTTTGTTTTTGCGTATAACATTTTTTTTTTATTTACTTGTGCCAGTTGCTTGATTCATTAAGAGAACCAATTCATTTTATTTTTACTTGTGCCATTTACTTGATTCATTAAAATAACCAATTAATTTGACTGATGAGAGTAATTTCTTCATGAATCAGACTACATAGGTGGTGCTGTTTGTTTTTGCGTATAACGTGTTTTTTTACTTATGCCAGATGCTCGAATTATTAAGAGAACCATTTCATTTTTACTTGTGCCAGATGAACCACTTAATTAGTCATTTGTTTGTGAATTAGACTACATAGGTGGCGCTGTTTGTTTTTGCGTGTAACACACTTTTTTTTTTTTACTTGTGCCAGTAAGCAACACCTCAGAATATCCTAGCAACCACCCAGAATCCCTTAGCAACCACCTAGCAACATTCAGACACCATGGCGCTCGTATTTTCTTTAGAGATATTCTTTCTCTCTCCCTCTGATGTAATTTCTTGTCGCCATCACCTCTCAGCTCTAGGAATAAACTGTCTTGCACTCAGACTCATTCATGTTCTTCACATCTCCATTCACTCAACCCCTCCCTCATGCTTTCTCTACATCCCTTTATTTGTTTCTGAATTTGTGCTCTTCAGGGACTTCCTGTAGGACAGAAGGTGGAGCAGATAAGCGTGAAACAGCCATCAACACAGTGTGGATTGAAACCCCACATTAAACACATTCCACATGTGCAGAACCACCATTCCACAGAACCACCATGTCATGCAAAGTTATGCAAGGGCCCGACTGTTGTTGAGAATCAATCATTTGTCAGGCAGGAACTCATGCCTTTGGCCATGTGGGCACTAGGCTACTCTCTTTCAGTATGTTTTATTAATCAAACCCTTAAGTACAACAAAAACACCAACCAAATTTCTTGTAAAGACATGAAAATTAATGTCAGTACATCTTAACTGTTAAGTAAAAGAAAGTCATCACTCATCATATACAATATTCAAACTAAATATGTAAGTTTATTCTCAACGTAAGACTGCATTTATGCGCAATCATAAAACACAAAGCAACGTGGAATATAAACGGCATTTAAGTACTACTCTAAACAATTCAAAGCCAAGGAGAGGAACATATTAAAAGGACAGCTGAAGATGGACTTTATCTTCACCAGTGCCTCATGGATGGCTCTTGTCGAAAGGTGTAAAATTACAGCAGCAAAAGAAATCATTCATTCCCCTACTTGGACACCACACAGAGCTTCAGCTGCCACATAACTGCTGTTCCAGCAAGTGTGGATTGAAACCCCACATTAAACACATTCCACATGTGCAGAACCACCATTCCACAGAACCACCATGTCATGCAAAGTTATGCAAGGGCCCGACTGTTGTTGAGAATCAATCATTTGTCAGGCAGGAACTCATGCCTTTGGCCATGTGGGCACTAGGCTACTCTCTTTCAGTATGTTTTATTAATCAAACCCTTAAGTACAACAAAAACACCAACCAAATTTCTTGTAAAGACATGAAAATTAATGTCAGTACATCTTAACTGTTAAGTAAAAGAAAGTCATCACTCATCATATACAATATTCAAACTAAATATGTAAGTTTATTCTCAACGTAAGACTGCATTTATGCGCAATCATAAAACACAAAGCAACGTGGAATATAAACGGCATTTAAGTACTACTCTAAACAATTCAGCATATTAAATGCAACATACGATGAATAAAGTAACACCTGAAGTAGATAGTAAGTTATTGCACATACATTAAACACTTATGCAACTACGCACCATGTAAGTGACCACGCGCGTGAAATGTCCAGAACGTAGCTCGATTCCGCTCGCGCGAGTCATATTTCCACGCTGCTGCTGAATTTAATGTCGCTGGGTTTACAAAACGTGTTCGTGGGGTTTGAAGGCAGTTGCGGTGGTGGGTTTCGGGGCGTGATTCAGTGATTCATGGTCACGAGAAGCAGATGCCCGAGGGAATTCTGTCATTTACACGCCCACTCCACGCGAATCACGCGAATGAACATCAATATGCTTTACAGCACAGTGAAGGCGTGTGTGTGTGTGTTATAGATGTTACATTTATACTTAATTACAAATGTATTAATACAAACATAGCGTTTTTAAAAGTTGCTTCACAAAATAATTCCATATCAAGGACAGTGTTTGGCAGGTTGGCTATTAAATGACGCAGCAGTGACGTTATAATAGGTTTTGAAATAATACAGGCTAAAATGGTTTTGTTTGAACTGAGCACGTCGTGTGTGGAACGTGGTGCAAAAAAAAAAATCCCACACAAAAGATCACTTCAAGCTCATAAACAGGAAATCACTTCACTGTCTTGTGACCATGTGACTAGGCCACTGCAGAAATAGAAACTCTGAAGTTAAACAGGAAAATGTTTGCAACTATTAACGTTATTATGAACGATTTTACAGTATGAAAAAATTACAGTGAAGCATAACAGAGATAAAAGTTCAGGGGAAGTAAGACTACACACTGCTGAACTTGTGAAATATTTCACTGGAGTGTAGGCCTATATATCACATGAGTATACAAAGGCATAAATATTTAGAGTTATTTCAACCATCTCACATCTCAACCAACATCACCATAATAAACAGACAACAACTCAGCCCAGGAAAAAAACATAAAAAATGATCACTTTTAACAACACAATTTGCACCTGGCACCACGGTGTACTAGTCCCTTGATGGATGGTCCCTTGAGTTTCATGGAAAGCACTTGCTCCAATATATTGACAGGCCAAGAACCTGAACCCTAGGAATGCTGAGGGGTAATGGGTGCAAATGTGCACTTGAATATACAGGTGCATCTCAATAAATTAGAATGACGTGTTGAAGTCCAGTGTTAAGTTTCCACAGTCAAAAGCACCAAAAGTTGGTTAAATGACCATGGTGTTGGTGTGGAGATGCCCCTGTATCTTTAGGTCACTGTGACCCCAAAGTTGGAACATCCTGTCCTTGTCATTACCTCCTCTGTCTTCTTCTTACGTCTACACACGTACACTATTTTGCCCCACCAACAGACACACATTCAAATAGACAGCAAAAGGAAATCTGCACTCCTTACATTTAATTTGCAATGCCAAAACTGTATATGGAGTATAAAATGCCCACCAAAGTGTCAATTTATCAACTTCTGTTAACTTCTCAACCACTGTTATTATTGTAGAAATCACCTGCAGTCATGAGGTCTGAATATCAGCAAGAACATCTAAAAAAAAAAACGTGTTCTAAGAACGTTCCCATTAAGTTACGAAAAAGTTATTGGATGTTCTCTGAAAGGCATTTTGCAGATATTATGGGAACATTATTTTAAAAGTTCTCTAAACGTTCTGAAACAAGTAGTAACAGAAAATGTCAGACAAACGTACAACTAAAACGTTTCAGGAGAAAAAAAAAATCTGTTAACGTTACTAGAAGAACGTCTGTTTATAACTTTTAGAGAATCTTGCCAGTAATTCCCGTTTTTTTCGTAATGAAGCTGCTTGCCTAAATTAACCGGTTTTATTCAAGTCTAAATTTAATATGCCTGAATGAGCTTGAGACTACAGCGATTTCAGAATGGAAATCAGGTAGAAACTCCCTCAAGGTAGAAAGCATTTGCACTTTACAGTCCGATTAATGAAACTGAAACTACTTAAATTTATTGGCGTTTGTCTGAAAATATTGTGTTTTCGTATAATGTGTCTTTCAAACGTGAAGAAATGCGAGCATTGTGATTAGTATCCATGAAAAATGAACACTGCCTAATGCTTTGGGTGGATCGAATGAATGAAACGTGCAAGAATCAATTGTTCTTAAGACGCGGAAGTCTGTTTGAGCGCGAATTGTGCTTGATGGTGTTGTGCAACTTTACGGACAGCTGCGCACCTATAAACTTATTCTAGTGCAGATAAACTTGATCTTCTTACAGCGGTGGATCATCGGGTTCACAAAATCATCATGAAATTGACTGATCATTGATCATGTATATGATCAATTATTCTTGACCATGCATTGTAATAGACATTGAAATAAAGGCATTAAATAATATCTAATGTAATATTCAATGCACAGCAGCGTGAACGCTCCAAACGCAATAGGCATTCGCGAAAATTCTCGCGCAAATAAATAGATGTGCAACAAACCTAAAGCAACGCGACATGCTGTTGCTCATGCATCACTGTCCATTCGCTAGCTATTTGGTTTCAAAGAAAAAGTTTGAAAAAATATTTTATTTATTATAAGGATGGTGTTGCATAATGATTTCGCGCACATCTTTGAGCAGCGCGCGCCACACCAGCAGCGATCCCAATACTGTGAAAGTAGCGCGACTTGCACTTACCGCAGGCGATACAGAGTATCATCATAACCGTCCATAGTTTATGTGCACTTCGCCATCAAGACCAAATTCTTCATCGCATTCAATTATTCACAGCTGAGCCGAACTTGTTTTTCCCGATTTTTTTTTGGCGCCCTTTTATTCCGTCCGGACATCACATAAAATCATATATGTAATTTCCAGCGATTTGGGAGCACATTCCCTGACAGCGCGACATGTTCAGCATGAGCAGGTACACTCCCATGACCGTCCGCGAATATACGAAAACTACTATGACGAGGACGTCTGTTTGGATATTAAAAAGCCAAGCCTCTGCCATTGGATGACAACAACACGACGTCTGCGTTACCTAATCAATATTCATGAGCCAAGCATTCACCTTTACGCTGTAAGAAAAAAGGCACAAACCTGTCACTGGGGCGGTATCCTAAGGTAAAAAAGCTGAAAGATGCATCGTTGTACCTTATTTACCCCTAAATTGTACCTATTAGTACCTTATAGGTAAATATTAGTACTTTAAAAGTACATATTAGTACCTAAAGTGTACATGATGTACAGTAGGCTACATACATAGTGACAGTTTTGTACCTTTTTTGAGAGTTTTATTAGACAGTAAGCTACGTTCGGAATAGAATTGAATCATTAAATGTTACTGAAGCTTGTAACTTGAAAAGATAGCCAACATGAACTACTTGAGGTAATGAGACTGAAATTGGTGTAATTGGTTATTCAAATGACAACGTGTGGTTGTTGTTTTTTTAAATCAGTATTATGTATAATAAATTAATTAATGAATGCTGTGGGTTTGTTTGTTTGTTTGTTTAATAACTATTTTAATACATAGGCCTATTTTAGAACCAATTAGCATTTATGCTAAAAAAAAAGTCATTAAAAAGCAAGAATTTTGCAAGAATAATATTTTTCGGATTTGTCATATCTCTTTTGTTAATATCTGTAATTATCGCAGGAACAGATTACTGAGGGCGGCAGATGCAATAACAATTGCATTTTTTCTTTTTCCTCATCAAATATAGCCTAATAAAATAATCAGTGATGAACCTTCACATAACCGCAATGTTTCAGAATTATAATCCCTATTCATTCCTTACGATACCCAGAGCTACTCTCCATAGTTACCAAGCAACCTTCTTATTACCTAATTAATATTCATCAGCACGGCCTTCGTCATAGTAGGATTCGCAACTTCAAAGATCCGTCAAGCAGTGAGAGTCAGACTCGATATCACTCCGCCGTGGATGCTCGCATCCAGAGTTGAGCTGTGGATGCGCTTGTTTAAACTTCAAATGACTCGGTTGGATCCGGAAACTGTGCTTTTTTCAACAGAATATCGCGGAGGTTGTTGTTGTTGATTATTATGCAGGGTACTATTTTCATGTAGGGGGCAAGGATAAAGATGTAAAGGGGCAAAGCCGGAACAAGCCGCTTTTCGAGGCGTAGGCTGCATGTATTTTAAAGAGACAGAGATGCTTCATTTGAACGATAGGGGATCATGTGGATCTGTTTGTTCATGCACCTTGGTGAAAGAGGAAGTGTAATGAGTACTGGATCGATTAGTAAACTTGAACATCTTGAAATGCTCCATAAAGCTTAGATTTCCTGGGTTTTACAAAGACCATCATCATGGGAATCTACTGTAGCCTATAGACTTTTGCTAGTGAAAGAATCCTTTGAGCAAAAGGCTTTTTTGCAGCTATAATGCTCAGTCCTTTTGAGAGAGTGAAATCTTTAAAATAACGCTGATGTTCTTCATGTGTGTGAAATTAAGCTCACACTTTCTGTTCCTGCTTCACTGATGAGTTGAGATCTCTTTCGTGGAGAACTAGATACAGTAGCAGGTGCATTGCACGATAGCTGTGTGCTTAAATAGACTTGGCATGGCATAAACAATTTATATAAAATACTGCACAATACTGGGGAGATGTGTGATGCTACAATGTTATATTGTAATATAATGTAATATATTGAATTTTAATGCTATAATGTATGTTATGTTATAAAATTATTTATGTGCAAAATTATTTTATAAAATCCTGACTGATGTAATATGGTATTTTATGTGAGTACGGCCTAGTGCAGCTCTAAATGTATTTTGCATTACTATTTTAGTTCAGGATATTCATAAAGGTCTTTTTGTGAAAAAAAGTAGAAAAAAATACATATGACATTCCCTTTGCATTTAAAGTCACACAGTTTGCTTTTCAGACTGTCACCAGGTTAACAAATTTACCCTCATTCACTCACTTTCATTTGTATTACAGTAAAGCCCAAGTGAGAGAGACATTATTGATAAGGACGTTGGCGACACCATCTGGCCATAAACAGACACTGCAGTCGTATTGCACATATTTAAAGGGGTCATATGATGCGATTTAAATTTTTCCTTTCTCTTTGGATTGTTACAAGCTCTTGGTGCATAAAGAAGATCTGTAAAGTTGCAAAGACTAAAGTCTCAAATCCAAAGAGATATTCTTTATAAAAGTTGAGTCAACCACGCCTACCTAAAACGGCTCGTTCTAACACGCCCCCACATACAGTATGTGGAAAATAATGTTTTTTTGAACCTTAAACCGCATAAACACACTTCATTACACCAAATACACAAAATAATGTTCTTTTTAGCAGCATCATATGACCCCTTTAAATGCTGTATATTTTCTACAGGATTTTACTGCTAAATAGTTCAAGTTTTGTTCTTTCAGATTTCAATAACCGTAGTTTATTTTGTCTTTCATACTTTACCTGAATCTAACATGCATCTTTCAGTTTCGTGTTCTTTAATTTGTCTACTGATTTGCAATAATGAAAGGCTCTTTAAACAAATGGCTACAAAAATAGGTACAACGAATAGTTAAAAAAAGGGTCTTGAATCTCTTATAAAGGTTGAAAGGAGGCTTTGAAAATGTTGATCCGAACCTCAAGAGGTCAAGATAAATATTGTATGAACTATTAAAAAAAAAAAAACCATCTAATAGGTCTACCAAACTAATTTAGGACTCTACGTTAAAAAAATAAAGAAAGTTTAATTAATATTTAATTAATGTTTTATTAATATCACATAGTATTTTTAATTTTAATTAATAGCTTTTACAAACCTAAACCTAAACCGAAAGTTTTATTGAAACACAAGGGGGCGCTCTTTGCACACAGTGACTTCAAGATCTTTTTCATTTTTTGGATTCTTTCATCTCTCTGCCGATCTTTTACTATGGTCCACTGGTGCACCTAACACTATTGCAAAGCTACTGAGCTCCTGCAAAGTGTTTGTTTGGACGATGTTTTCTAGCCAGCGTCTGGTCTTCGTTTCTGTTTCTCCGTGACTGAAGAATATCTGGCAATGCGACATCCGGTCCCCTGTTTTTTAGAAATGATCCATTAAAGGACTAGTTCACCCAAAAATTTAAATTAGCTGAAAATGTACTCAGGCCATTTAATATGTAGATGAGTTTGTTTCTTTATCAGAAATTCAACATCGCCAATGGATCCTCTGCAGTGAATGGGTGCCGTCAGAATGAGAGTCCAAACAGCTGATAAAAACATCACAATAAGTAAACCACATGACAGTCCATCAGTTAATGTCTTGTGAAGCTAAAAGGTGCATGTTTGTAAGAAAACAAGTCCATAATCCATTATATTGCTTTCTCTAGTGGAAAAAGTAATCTCATCTGAATCAGGAGAGAAATATGCACAGATCAAGCACTTTTTACAAGAAAAAACAGTACAGAGCCATGCTAAACAAATATGTTAAAAAATATATGGATTTTGATGTGAGAGGACAGCAGGGGATGGACTTTTTCACTGGAGGAAGTGTTATTATGGATTATGGACTGCTATTTTTGCCAGAAGTGACAGTTTGAAGTTAAAAACATCTAAATGATGGATTTGTTTCTTACAAATACACAGCTTTTCACTTCACAAGATGTTAACTGATTGATGGACTTGGTGTGTGGATCACTTGTGGATTATTGTGATGTTTTTATCAGCTGTTTGGACTCTCATTCTGACGGCACCCATTCACTGCAGAGGATCCACTGGTGATGATGAATTTCTTCAAATCTGTTCTGATGAAGAAACAATCTCATCTACATCTTGGATGGCCTGAGGGTGAGTAAATTTTCAGCAAATAAATTTTTTGGGGGTAAACTAGTCCTTTAATGGATCATTTCTAAAATGGGTGACTAGATGTCCCATTGCCAGATATTCAGTCAGTCACTGAGAAGCAGAAACTACATCAAAAGACAACACCCATGCTGATGGCACCCATTCACTGCAGAGGATCTGCTGGTGATCAAGTGATGCAATGCTAAAATTCTCCAAATCTGTTCTGAAACAAACTCATCTACATATTAGATCGTCTGTGAGTACATTTAAATTTTTGGGTAAACTATTCCTTTAACTGTGAACATTTTATCCTCATTCTCTCCTATTGTATATTAGGATTACTTCCACATTTTACAAAAACATTAATAGAATTATTTTAAGAACATTACATAGTTGCACCAAACATTCACAATTAATCTCAGATATAAAAGCCTCACAGAAAACGACATTTTAGCATTTTGTAATTTAATAGCTGAGTAAAAAGACGTTTTGGTGGCCGGTCTCTCTCTCTCTCTCTCTCTCTCTCTTGACCACAATCACTTTCCAAGCCCATTATTCACCTAGAATACGATTTCCGTGACAATGTGTCATTAGCCAAGCACAGGCATTCAGAGCTGGACCAGAGATAATTACAGAGCTCCTCAAATCAGTTTGAGGATAGAATGTCACAGGAACGCTAATGACACACGTGTAGTCTGTTTGAAGACAGCCGCTATGAGGAAGCCAATGTTGCCTACAACCTGATCGGACGCAGAACACAGCTTTGCATTTGTTGTCTTGTAGCTTGAAGGATGTGCAGTGACAGGTAAATCATTAGCACAGAACGATCTGATCCCGTACATGTGCAGTATGTGATGAATTGCTGAGAAAGCTTCCTATCTAAACTGCAAAGAGCTGTCAAGTCTAGAGACTCTATAGAATTGGTGGTCCTTTGTGTGTTTATGGAAGTGAACCTGTTTTTTTTTTTTTAAATCTCTATTTAGCCCCTCAAGACAGGTTTTTCAGGTGGAAATGCATCGGAAAATATTTAGGAGCAAATACCTATGTGACATATAGCTAGTATATAACAGAGCTATTCTGTGTTATGTTCTAGTTTTATATGTATTTTATGTTTTATATCATAC